CCCCCCCCCCCCCCTCTCTCTCCTGTTTTTTCTCCCCCCCTCCTCCTCCCCCCCCCCCCCCCCCCCCCCCCCCCCCCCTCTTTTTTTTTTTTTTTTTCCCCCCCCTTTTTCCTCCCCCCCCCCCCCCCCCCCCGCTCTTCTGATAGTGGTATGCTTCCCAACGCAGTTCTGCCTCCTTCCTCTGACCACATCTATGCCCAGTGGAGGCAGCCACAAGAGATCAGCTCAACTCACAACAGCCACCTGAGTTCTGTTGGCCCTGAAAACATAGGTAAGGCTTTGATGGAAAGGCCTCAAGGCTCAGGCCTTTTCCCTTTGCTTCCAGACACCTTCAGACCCACAATTGCTAAAGGGGGCTTTCTTCTCACCCCACATCTCCCCAATGCATAAACACTTCCTTCTTTTGAGCCAGATTTCTGTTCAAATACTGCAGAGGTGTCAAACTGGGTTTCTTCCAGGGTCGGATCAGTGTTGTAGGAAGGGGTGGGGAAGCAGAGAGCAGGGAGGGAGACGGATCGATGCCTCCTGCAGCACCCCTGCCAACCAAAATAGGGCGTTGGGGGAAGGCTCCCCCTCGCACCTCGATTTTGGCCTCTGTGGCCTCCAGCTACACACTGCCGGCCAAAACCAGGCCACCTGAAGGCCCCTCGCGGCCTGTTTTCAGCCTCCCGTAGCGCTCTGCCAGGCAAAAACTGGCCACTCAGAGGCCTCGTTTTGGCTGGCAGAGGCACCGTGGGCCGGTCCTTTGACATTTCCAGGTCTTCGCATGGGCCAGATTTAAGCACCCTGCAGCCCAGATCTGGCCCAGGGACCTTGAGTTGGAGAATCCTGTAATACTGTCTATAGCAGCCTTCTACAGTGCAGCCCTCTCCAAAATATTGTTTGTTTGTTTAATTTATTTGCTGCCTGTCTCTCCGCGGGGCTACTCTAGTTTGACAAGTCAAAATAATTGAAGGGAAGAAAATGGAAGGAGTGTAAACGGGTAAAACAATAGCAATAGTAATAGTAGTTAGACTTATATACCGCTTCATAGGGCTTTCAGCCCTCTCTAAGCGGTTT